CCATCTGATGTCAGCAATGATGTCCCCCATTCCATGTCCTCATCTAAATTCTACTTGTACCTGCGGAAGTTCCCTATCAATGTATTGTTGCAGCTGTTTCTAAATTATCTTAAGCAAAATTTTACTTGCATGCGATATTAATGATATTGTCTGATGATTTCCGCATTTCATTGGGTCACCTCTCTTTGGAATGGGCATTAGTAGGGATCTCTTCCAGTCAGTTGACCAGGTAGTTGTCTTCCAAATTTCTTGGCATAGATGAGTGAATGCCTCCAGTGCTGCATCAGTTTGTTGAAAGATTTCAATTTGCATTCCATCAATTCCCAGAGCCTTGTTCTTTACCAATAACTTCAATGCACCTTGGATTTCTTCCTTCAGTATCATTGGCTCTTGATCATATGCTACCTCTTGAAATGGTTGAATATCAACCATGTCTTTCTGGTACAGTAACTGTGTATTCTTTCCATCTTTTTTTGATGCTTTCTGCGTCATTCAGTATTTTTTCCCAGAGAATCCTTCAGTATTGCAAATTGAGGTTGAATTTTTTTCGTCCATTCCTTCAGCTTGAGAAATGCTGAGCATGTTCACTTTCATTTTTCTAACTCCAGATCTTTGTACATTTCATTATAATATTTGACTGTCTTCTCCTGCTGCCCTTTGAAATCTTGTATTCAGCTCTTTTACTTTAGCCTCTCTATGCTGGAGAGCAAGTTTCAGAGTCTGTTCTGACATCCATTTTGGTCTTTTTGTTCTTACTTGTCTTCTAAATGACCCTTTGCTTTCTTCCTGTATGATATTCTGATGTCCTCTCACAACTTTTCTGGTCTTCAGTCATCAAATCTGTTCTTGAATTTAGATGATCTCTAAATTCAGGTAAGATATCTTCAAGATCATATTTTGACTCTCGTGGACTTGTCTTACTTTTCTTCAGCTTCAGCCTGAACTTGCATGTGAGCAGTGGTCTGTTCCACCATATGCCCCTAGCCTTGTTTTGACTGATGATATGTAGCTCTTCCACTGTAATTTTCCACACATGTAGTAAATTCTATTTCTGTGTATTCCATCTGGTAACGTCCATATGTATAGTCTATTTTATGTTGTTTAAAAAGGTATTTGCAACAAACAAGTCTGGTCTTGCAAAATTCTATCATGTGATCTCCAGCATTGTTTCTATCACTAAGGCCATATTTTCCAAATACTGATCCTTCCTCTTTCGTTCCAACTTTTGCATTCCAATCACTAGTAACTATCAATACATTTTGATTGCATGTTTGATCAATTTCATCACTGGCTTTAGTGGTTGGTGCATACATTTGAATAATAGTGATATTCACTGGTCTTCCTTGTTGTTGTTGTTGTTGTTGTTAAGTGCCATCGAGTCGGGTCCGACCCATAGCGACCCTGTACAGGGTTTCTGAGGGTGTAAATCTTTACAGGAGTAGAAAGCCTCATCTTTCTCCCGCGGAGCGGCTGGTAGTTTCGAACCGCTGACCTTAAGGTTCGCAGCCCGATTCGTAACCACTACGCTACCAGAGCTCCTTCCTTGTAGGCATATGGATATTATCATTAATATTATCAAATACTAACATAGACAGTGTTGTATTTCAAGACAGATCTTGAAATGTTCTTTTTGATGATGAATGGGACACCATTCCTCTTCAATTTGTCATTCCTGGTATAGTAAACCATGTGGTTGTCAGATTCAAAATGACTGATACCAGCCCATTTCAGCTCCCTAATGGCTAGGATATCAATGTTTATACATTCCATTTCATTTTTCACAACCTCCTCCACTCGTCTATCAGTTTGCAGTACTGTGCTGGTTTGTGAGTTGCTGTGATTCTGGAAGCTATGCCACCAGTATTTTAAATACCAGCAGGGTCACAGTGGTGTTTCAAATGAGCTTCCAGATTAAGACAGACAAGAAGAAAAGATGGATTACTTCCAACTATTTAGTCACTGAAAACCATTAAAATGGAATAATATAAATAATATAATGAAGACCCAATAAAGTACTTAGAACCATGCCTAGCATAACATTTTCAGTAAGCACTCAGTATCCCTATTAACACAAAAATGTCTACATGGTATTTTCACAGACAGAAATAGAGATTTTTCTAGAGACAGTTTTGTTTACAAAATTCAAGGGAATTAGATAAATTTTCAAGTATTATTCCCACAGAATTCTAGGCAACAGAATCCAGACTGAATTTGTACATGTTTTTCTTCCAGGCAGTCATCAGTCTTTCATGGCTTGTCCTGTCCTGGCCAAGTGTAATATAAATACTTGAATAAGCTTCTGACTGCTGACATTAGATTGTCACAGCATTCATCTGCACTTAATATCTGTCTCTGAAAAGGCCTGGCAACATTGCATTTGGTTGCTCCTACTGCCAAGGTGTTAATGGCTTTAAAAAGAAAGAAAAGGACAGGCACTGCTAAGGTTGGCTAATTTAAGATTTCTTCTTGTTGTTAAGTGCCATTGAGTTAGTTCCAACTCATAGTGACCCCGTATAGAGTTTCCAAGGTGCAGCCAATGAACTTGAACCACCGACCTTGCAGTTCATGCAGTCCAGTAAGAAAGAAAAAGACAGGTCCTGCTAAGCTTGGCTTATTCAAGATATACTCCCTTATAACCTAAAAGGTTATAAGCCAAAAAGATCTGTGCCTCATGGTTTTGTTGTTGTCTCCTATATACAAAGGTTTTGAACATATAAATTTGTGATATGTTCAACTGATAAGTGAATTAGATTCAATCAAATTTTTATCTAAGCACTTTTCCATTATCTAAAATGGGGAGAGGGATTTCTGATCAGGAGTTCACAACCTCAATTGAAGGTCTTTACACCACAACAGAAATTGTTCATGCATTATTCCACGATAAGAATATGTTGTGATTAGTTACCATAAAGTTAACTCCGATTCATGACAAGCCAGTATGTGCAGAATAGAACACTGCCGCCAAGTTTTCAAGGCTGGGAGTTTTAGGAAGTAGATCCCGAGACCTGTCTCCCAAGATGCTGCTGGGTGGGTTCAAACCACCAAGCTTTTAGGCTAGTCATGGGACCTACTTAACTCTGTACCACCCAGGGACTCCATAAAATAAAACTGTTTGTTATTGTTAGGTGCCTTTGAGTCAGTTCCAGCTCATAGCAACCCTGTATAGGGTTTCCATGGAGCAACTGATGGGTTTGAACCACCAACTTTGTGGTTAGCAGTCCAATGTTTATTCAACATTGCCACACTGGGACTCTTCAATAAGACTATTGTTGTTATTATGTGCTGTGGAGTCAGTTCCGACTCATTTCAACCCTGTACAGGGTTTTTGAGGTTGTAAATCATTACGTGAACAGAAAGCCTCATTTTTCTCCCACGGAACAGCAGGTAGTTTCCAACTGCTGACCTTGTGGTTCACAGCCCGATTCGTAACCACTACGCTACCAGAGCTCCTTTCAGTAAGACTGTATGGGCTAGTAAAACATCAAGCTTCTTTAATTTTGGTGAAGAATTTACTTTATAACACTGATCATCTTTGGAAAATTAAAAACTCAAATTGGACTTTGTATATGTCTAAGTGGTTTTTAAGAAAAATAAATTAATAGATGCTATTTGTGTGGTGCTATAAGATAATCACAGAACTGTGATCAACAGGTCAGCAGTTCAAACCCACCAGCTGCTCCTCAGAAACCCTGCTATAAGTCATAATCGATGGCATTTAACAACAATTTACTTGTTAACTCAATGTTTTTAAAACTAAATTCTACACCACATTTTAAATTCTCTTGCCAAAAATATCAAACAAATATAATGAACCATTTAAGATCAAGAGTCTATACCAGTGTACCAGAAATAGCACAAAAGATTATGTGTAATGATATCTCAGAGACACCAGCTACAAAATCAGGACAGACATCCCAGTTTCTTCAGCTAAAGAAATATAGAGCCGTAAGAAGAAATGAACTGTTGATACAACTTGGAATGATCCTCAGCAACTGAAATATGTAACCCAAATGTTAGATAATGTTTGGTTCCATTTTATAAAGATGTTCTAATGGAAGACATATTAGTGGTTGACAGGTTAGAAAGAGGTAGGTTTGGATATAAAAGCGTAAAACTAGGGATCCTTGTTCAGTATCTTAATTGTGGAGGTGAATATGCAAATCTACACAGGTAATATAACTACATAGAACTTGTGTTCACTTCAATATAATGCATACTTTAAGTTCTTACATATGTGTATGCATGTGTATATATACATGTATAATAGTATATAATTATATGTAATTAAGAGTATATGTAATATACACACATGAGAACAAATAAAACTGGGCAAATCTGAGTACAATCTGTGGATTACATCATGTTATATGTCAGTATCCTCATTGTGATACTATATTTTGTAAATCTTAACATTAGAGTAAAATAATACAGAGCCCCTAAAGTATATTAGGAATCTCAGTGTTATTTCTTTTTTTTTTTCTTTTAATAACTCACTTGTCTATTATTTGTTAACAGCTGCTTGTGAATCTACAATTATTTCAATCAATAAAAATTGTAGTTTAAAAAAAGACATTTGGGATACCTGTAGATTAAAATATTTATGATACAGATCAAACAATTTCAAGATATATACTTTATTGTTGGGCCCAGATTTGAACAAACTACAAAGTCTATGAACCAAATATAGTCGTGTATATAAATCATTTCTCAGCATTTTTTACTGTATTACTGTAAAAGGAACCATGTGCAATGGCCATGTGACCACGGATAATGTTAATGTGCTAATTAACTTTTGAAACGCAAGTTTTTCACTAGCTAAATAGCAATCCTATTTCAATAAGACATTTCATTTAGACAAAAGTCTTATAAGAATATAACCTGACAGTAATGATGTTGTTAAGTGCCATCTAATCAGTTCTGACTCATAGAAACCCTGTATATAGCTATTCAGAAAAGTTACTTAAATGTGTAATAATAACCTTCTATAAACATTCTTGTAGGTATGCTGGTATCCTTCTGGGCATAACAAATACATTTGCCACTATCCCAGGAATGATTGGACCTGTCATTGCTAAAAGTCTGACTCCTAATGTAAGTAGATCATTTGCTAATAAACTGAAAACATCCAAACAGTTCACTTGGAGCTGCATTTCTTGGTCAAAGTTGAATATATTTTAAAACAATACAACTAAGTTAAGATCTTGTAGCTGAAATAACATCAATTATTAAGAGTTTTAATATTATATCAGATAAATCACTTGTGTCTTTGATTTGGACAAATAAGAATTGTAATTTTTTTCTTCAAGAAGAGATATTGTTGTTGTTACATGCCATCAAGTCAGTTCCAAGTGGTTCAAACCCACCAGTCGCTCCTTGGAGGAATAGATGAGGTATCAGGTAATCATGTGAGAATGAAGTTGGAACCATTGAAATAATTTGAGATTAGAAGAGCAGAAGGTTTGAGAAGACAATTGTGAAGATTGTCTTCACACATTTCAAGAGAGATCAAATGGAAGATGGAGACTTATTCTCAGCAGTTCCACAAGAACAGATGGAGAGAAGTTATGTGGAGACATAAGAAAAGTTCTCTGCTTAAACATTTCCTTGGTAGAATAAATAGGCTGCCCTGTGAGTTAGTGAGTCCTGAGATAGCTAAGCTTTATTCAGGAGGCATTGTATATGAGTGCTTGTTATAAATTAGATAGTGAAGATTCAAAGATAAAATTACATAGCTTCTATACTTGAGAAACTCATCATAGAGAAATTATATGTAATAAAAGCACAGTTGACAGATATCTGCTTCAGTAAATGTGTGCAGAGTGCAGTGGATACAGAAGCAGGATTGGCCAATTTGCAGGGGTGGGAAAATAGGGAAGGAGCCTTCTAGGAGTCTACCAGGTGACATGTTAAGAGTGCTGGATTCTTTGGTGTAAGACCACCAAGCTGCTATCATAGGGTGGGCCTAAGGTGGGTACAGCCTAAAGCAGGAAGGTGGCATGGGCCCCTATCAGGAAGCAAAGATTCAGCATTCTACAGACGTTGTCTGTATTGTTTAAGAAATCAGAATATATTATCTCGACAGCCCCTTCCAACTTTTCTTAAAGAGTTATGAAACATATTTTTCAAGAGTCTGATTAAGTCTCTGATAGTCTTAATTATTCCTTATTTATGTCTCTGTGAACAAATTAACAGTAGCTGTTCCGCAGGAACAGGCTTTCTGCACCTGTAAAGATTCATAGCCTTGGAAACCCTGTACAGGGTCGCTATGAGTCGGAACTGACTCCACGGCACTTAACAACAACTCCTTAGAATGTTAGGATAATCTTAAGAAATTTCTTATTCCCAAATATTCTGATCTCATACATGTATGTCTTTTCCTCTCCCACTATTTCTAATCCTGAATTCAATGAATTGAGACCTCACCTCCGTGTTACTGTTTTCTCTCATTTAATAGAAAGAATATTTAAGAAGTTTTTCCTTAAAGTTCTGTGTCTCAAATATGAACAATTCAGAACTTTTTAACCGTATCTTCTATGTTAATACTTTATCTTGTATTAATTTGATTTGTTGATAATCCTACCAGTTATTCTGGAGAAATATGGATTCCTGAATTAAAGTCTTGAAAGTTTGCAGATAGGAACTGAACTGGATGTTGGATATGTTATTATAACATTTGTTGTTGTTATTAATGGAATATTTTTAGAAAAGTAAAAGATGATTTGCCTTTACAATTGTTATTATATACACATTTACTACACTATCTCAAAAACTTGGCAGAATGAGTCAGAGTATATGTAAATAATGAAGAAATTAAAATTCAAACTGTGTTCGAAGTTCAATTTTGTTACAAAAAAACCCCCAGTATTCTCTAATAATGGGTGGAATTCTTATTAGAAAGATGAAAACAAAAGCAAAATAACTACACGGTATGTAAGATTTCTGGTCCAGCTGGTGGAGTGTAAGGCAACCATTGCCTCCAAATTACAGTGACATGGTATTTTATCCTGTAAACCAGAGAAGCTGGTTTAAGGGATTCTCAGAAGGGCCTTAAACATCTCTTTCTGGTAGAAGATCTAATTACTGAGTGAATTCTTTTTTAGAATGGTGATACATCCTTAGCAAATTTAAATAGTGACTAAAATTTAAGATGGGTTTCTAAGAATTTTCTTCACCAAAATACATTTATTTCAGACAAGTGCCACTTAATCATAATGTTGCTTCTTTCTCCGCGTTTTTCCTTTTTTTCCTAATGAAGTACCTCATGCTGGTTTCCCTGTGCCTTTCCAACACTACCACCACCTCCTTCGTGTGTCTTTTTTCCCTAATTACCAGGGCTGCTGCTTGATTTTTCTTTTTCAAATGCTGCAAATGTAGCACTGTTTGATTAAATTTGTAAAACTAAAAAAAAAAAAAAAAAATGGTTGTTAGTCACATGATCCAGAAACTTCAGTAGCTGCCTGAATTATATATTGAACAATTACATTTTGTGGATCTGTTACTGGTAAGTCCCATGCCTGTCCTGCTTTGTGTGCCATTTAAAATCCCAGCCAAATCTTCCACACTGACCAGCCCTCCATCCAACAGTCCCAGACATGCAAACCTGACCTTCAAGAGCCATCTTGTTTATTCATCCTCACTGGGACCACCTGACACCATGGGGCCCCCTCAGAACTAATAACTATGTGTGTCAGGGACATGTCACCTTTTATTTGTAGTAAACTTTTCATTGAAGTGTGTTGTTGTTAAGTGCCATCAAGTCAGTTCCGACCCATAGTGACCCTGTATAGGGTTTCCGAGGAGAAGCTGGTGAGCTTGAACTGCCGATCTTGCAGTTCAAATGGCTTTGCAGTCTGGCGCATCAATCCATAGCACAGGTATTTGTTAAATGCACAAATTCTATATGTACAGTTTGATAAATTTTAACAAAATTAATACATCTATGTAACCGATACCAAATCAAAAAAGAAAATAATTGCCACCATCAAGAAGCCCTCATGAAGAGGGACCACTATTCTGAATTTTAACACCATAGACTAGTTTTAAACTTTATATTGAGATAATTTCCTATGTACTCCTTTCGATATGGCTTCTTTTGTGCAATATTTTGTGTATAAAATGTATCTGTGTTGTTACATAGTTCATGCTTATTGCAGTACTACCACAGTTTTGCTGTGATAAACATTTGGCTTGATTCCACTGTGGAGCTTCTCTGAAGAGTAACTTCTATAATAGTAACTGTAACAATCAGTTGGGAGTCCTGGTGTGGCACTATAGGTAAAGCACTGGACAGTAACTACAACGTTGGCAGTTCAAACCTACCACCCCTTCCTCGAAAACCCTATAAGGGTCTCTATGAGCCGGAACCAACTTGTTGGCACTAACAACAATCTGGTCATACCCAATGAACTGCAAACTGTATTTTCATCTGTTTTTTTCTTTCTTTCTTTCTAGAACACTATAAAAGAATGGCAAACTGTTTTCTGTATCGCCGCTGCTATTAATGTATTTGGTGCAATGTTCTTTACACTATTCGGCAAAGGTGAAGTACAAAGCTGGGCGCTCAGTGACCACCATGGACACAGAAACTGAAGGAACCAGTAAATAATCCTGTCTCTATTGACATACTTTCGTTTAATCATGTAACCTAAGAGTGCCTTTGATATTTTAATGTATAAGTATTCTAGATACAAAAATTATACTTAAGTATTAAGGTTTTAGGGATTATAATCATGAAATGTCACTGGTTACCAATTTAATAAAATTAGCCATTCTTAATTATTAATAGTACATATGCTATAACCTATACTTCAGGTTCACATTCCTGGCTGGTTGCAAGTCAGGCAACAGGATGTAGAAGTTCTCTTTATGTTTAAGGGGGCCATACTTGAGAGAATGAGCTGAAAGGATCCCGTATACCATTGCTGATTTAAACTAGAGAGTAATTCTCAGGTGTTGATATACCCTGTTTTTTTACCTACCTCCCTTAAAAACTCATTTGTCATTAGCTCTCCTTAACACTTAGATCTGAAATGTCAGCGTCTCCATGGAGCCGCCAACCCCTGTATAATCTGGCCTGGCAACTGGACTAAGGGAAGCATGCCCAGGCAGCTGCCGAACATTCCTTCCCTGCCTTCAGGGACTAAGTGCCCAGCATTTATCAAAAGTAGCCTCTCCAAACCCAGGGTCAGTGCCATGTGTTTGAACGATGTTCCTGCCCAAGGGCTATTAACAAGTAGATAAAGCCCTGAGTGGGCAGACGCAGGGAATCCACAGCCATGGTCCCACGGCACCCTCAAACCTCTGCCAGCACACTGAAATACTGATTGAGATGTAACCTGCAAAAGAAATATATGATGTCCAATAATCCCAAATAATGTCATCCTTATCAGAAACTACCTTCATGTGGAGTATGCTGTTTCTGAATCCTGTATATTTTAAGACACACCAGAATAAAAGTTTTTGAATTTTTAAACCCTCTCACTTTTTCTTCAGTCTGTCTTGATGTAAGCTTACGTGTAAAGTGACTTTTAAAGACCACATCACCTACGACCAGGGGCATAATCCTATTTACTGCTGATAGCTGAAATCAAATGCTTCCAGTTTTTTCCTGGATCATCTTCCATTGGTTCTTGAGCATGCGTTGATGCCATTCATGTGATTTACAACTTGATTTGTGTTTTTTTGTAGCTTTTCAACACTACCTTGAATATTTTAACTGAGAAAACTGCTGAATGTAATATGATGTGAATACATTTATGTAAATTTATTTTTTAATTTGTGAATAGCTTTAAATTGCTATGGTGATACTGCTTTTATAAATCATTAAAATAAACATTTTTGAATTGAATTTTAACCTGACAGTTGTGTGATATTTTCTACTGTCCACCAAGATCATTGACATCTTTCCACATCCTCCTCAAGCTACAGTCTACCTCTACAAGCATCTCTCACTCACAGATGATCCTACTGGACTAGGCAGAGAAAGTTTGGGCCATCTATGGGATACAGCTTTAGAAATCTTCTATTGCCATCCCCCTGCCCTTCCAAGCTCACAAAAGGGTCTTCAGTAGCACATGCCTGTATCCTTTGCCCCTCTTCTTGTAAGACCTGGCTTCGGTAATTCCTCTCTAATTTGCTTCTTCAGTCTCTACTTCTCTATCTTGTTCCTTTTCTTCTATCTCAAAGCCACATGAGTCTTCTTTAGCCTTTCAAATCAAATACAAAACTCTCCTGGGGACATAAAAACATACGTTCAGAATATCTCTAGAATAGTACTCAAGAAGCTGGAAACAATGATTGGCTCAGAGAGAGAGAACAGAAAACCTAGGCATGAAAAGGAGAATTAAATTTCACTTTACCAAATGTGGCAGTATAACCTATAAATACTAAAATATCAGTTGTCACTGAGTTAACTCCAACTCATAGCAACCCCATTTGTGTCAAGAATAGGATTGTGCCCCATAGGATTTCAGTGACTGATTTTTCCTAAATATATCACCAGACCTTTCTTCCTAAGTACCAGTGCCATTGCATAGGTCCCAACTCATAGTGACCCTATATAGGGTTTCTGAGGCTTGGCTGATGGGTTTGAACTGGGTCAGCAGTCTAGTGCTTATCCTACTGCATCACACCAGGACTCTTAAGTTACCTCCTGGGTGACCTCAAACCTCCAATCTTTTGGTTAAACTCCAAGCACATTAATCTGTGCACCACCCAAAGAGTCCTGAAAATACATACATTGTTTCTAAAAGAAAGACTAAAACAACCCGCTTACCCAAGCAACCACTTAGTTTTTAACCCCTGCTGGACATTCCACAGACTGTTCTGTGTGCACCTGAGACTTGTTTAAATTCAACCTTATACCGCCATGCCTGCTGTCTGCCTTATTCCTGCTAAAATCAACATTTAGCCAGTTACTGAGGCATGAACCTGGGCTCATTTTTCAGTCTTCCTCCTCAGTATCCCACTATTACTCCCACCTCTGTATTGAATCAACTACCTTTCCTCTCCATTCCAATCTTTCAAGTCTGCAGGCGTTTTTTTATGTAAATCCCTCTGCCATTTCTTAGCTTGAGAGACCCTTGTAGCATTGTTTCTACCAGGAATACAAAATGTAAGTGATCTCGTTACCTTTAATCCCCATCCTCTTCTGCCCCAATTTCCCACCAGTGTTGGATCAACCTTCCCAGTATACCTAATTGCCCTGATCAAAGGTGAACCCCTATATGGCTTCCCATCACCTACCCAGTAAACTCTTCAACCCATCCCCCATGCCCTCCTCACACCTGGGCCCAGCGTACTTCATCTTCATCACCCACCATGCCTACTTTCAGCTAAATCAGACTTAGCGCTTCTCCACAACTGCTCTCCATTCCTTTAGAAGCCCTGCTAGCAGAGTTGGATTATGGGTTGGGCTGCTAACTGAAAGGTCAGCAGTGTGAATGTACCAGCCACTCCACAGGAGAAAGATGAGGCTTTCTGTTCCTTATAAAGCATTACAGCCTCAGAAACCCTGTACAGGGTCGCTCTGAATCAGAACAGACTGCACAGCACACCGCCACCAGCAGCAGCAGCATACATTTACTAATTGCATTCTTTGGGACTTGGAACTGGAATGCACTGTTCAAACCCACCTCCTTCAGAACTCATCATTGCTTGCACCCTCCCTGATCTAGATGCAGTCTCTGCTTTTGATCCATCAAAGTACCATATTATGTATTATTTCTTAATGGATTGTTTTCTTTTTATTTTGAATTCAAGGCTCTGTTATGAGAAAGAGATAATTCCTTCCTTCATTCATTTAACAAACGATGTAGCCCTTGCACTCTGAACGAGGCATCAAGCTCAGTCTAGCTCCTAATGCCCTTTCTCCTCCAAGGTCTTTATAAAGCTTATGAATAGATGTTGGTAGCTAGTTCCCTTTTAGATTCATCACAAGCATCTTGCTGGCCTAGTACATTTGGTTCATCTCAGCATGGTCTCCGTCATAGTAACGTGCTTTGTCCAATTTCATTGCTTGATATATATTTGGTAAATAAGCCTCAAAATGACCTTCACAAACTTGTTTTTTTATGTTGTATAATGTCTTTTAAGAAAATATGCTGTTTTCTTAAACAAAAACCCACAATTGCTAAATAAATGTACTAACATCTTTTAATGAAGAAATGATGTACTAACATTAAGTTTTAAGTGGATTTGAATGTATTTAAGAATAATTTATGTAGGTAAAATACTTCTAGTTATTCAACAAATATATATATACTAAGTGGTCATATGTGCTAAGTAAGCATTGATCTTTGCACCGGGACACACCAGGAGGATGGAGGGGAGTAAGTTCTTTTTCTCACGGAGCTCACATTCTTATTGATCAAACTTTTGTCTTCCTAGATCCCAGCCTTTGAAAATTTCCATGCAGTAGATCAATATCTATCCAATAATCAAACACATTGGAAATAAGGGTACCTGCCAACAGACCTTGAGAATCAGATTTATGAAAAAAAAGAAAGAAAGAAATGCTGAAGTCAGCAGTTTGTATTAACCATTGTGTCTTTCCTACTTTGTTCAACATTTCTCTCCTCCACAAGAAATCAAAAATCATTTTTAAATTTAGACTCTATTGCAAAATAGATGATCTAATGCTCCCCCATGAGGGTAGTACACTGCTGTTCAAAATAAACTTTTCCCCAAACAGAAAATTATTAATACAGTATTTAAATTTCAAGGTAAGAAGACCAGTAAAGGAACTGGCCTAGCTCTCATAAAGTCTCCTTCCTTCTTCCATGAATAGGCATTGGTGTATCTACTGTCAGTTAAAGAGATTTCTCTCTTCAAAACTTAAATTAGGATGAATTACAAAGCCTTTTCAGACGCTTTTGCCTTATAAACTAAAAACAAATATAAAAGCTTTACTCTAAACAGATTACATACAAAATAGTTCCCAAGAGCTCTGCTATGAAAAGTTGTAAGTACAAACAACACAGAAAAGAAATAGAAGGTAACATTCTGCCACCTTTTCTCAAGTGTCTTGATTAGGAAGAACACTAGTAATTTTCCAGGCTCCTGTTTACTTTCACTTTATCTTGATGTTGGGGGAGGAGGAAATTTTGAACTTCCACGTCATCGCCAGTCCTGAGGTTGTGAGAAGCCATTATTGCACAACTGAGCTGAAAACACTTTTAAGTTATCAGTCCCCCTCACTCCATGATAGTCTGGACTTTCTAGAGGATTTTTTTTTTTAACTTACTATCTTAATAATTATACTAAACCCTTTCCTGAAGCACTCTCTTTGGCAGAAACAACTGAAATATGCTAGCATTTCCAACAATGTCAGCCCGTGCAGAGAGGATCAAGTGTGCATTTAGGTCCCAGTTGAGCACCACATAGAGTCCCTTGTCTAAGCATCTTACAGCTTTGATGCCACAGTCTGAAATTTGAGCTTCACAGAGAAGCTTGACTGAGAATAAAAACAATCTGGGTAGGAAACAGTCTGGTCTTTTTAATGCTCAGAATTGTTTTGTGTGCAGTGTTGACACACTGTGTTAGAGAAAATCCAAGTCTGTATATTATATAAATTACCTATACAATAGCTT